ACTCAACCACACGTCTTTTCGTCACGGGCCAAACCTCCAAACTCCAGCCGTTTGCTTTCACACTTTGCCAACCAATACAGTCGCCCTACGGGGACTTGCTGAGCGAATTCCTATTGTTAACTGCAGCTCTTGACTGGAACAAACCGGTCAGGCATGTCCACCGCATCATCACCAGCGGTCAACCTACACACGCGAGGTCTCGTCGGCTAGCTCCGGAAAAGCTTCGCGTCGCCCAGCAAGATTTCCAACACATGGTGGAGATAGGCATTGCTCGCCCATCCTCGAGTAGTTGGTCCTCTACACTCCACCTAGTCCCAAAGAAAACAGGCGACTGGCGGCCCTGCGGCGACTATCGCAGCTTGAACGTGACTACGGTCCCCGACCGTTACCCCATCCCCAACATTCAGGACTTCACCACCAACCTGAACGGATGTACCATATTCTCGAAACTCGACCTGCAGAAAGCGTACCATCAGATCCCGGTCGCTCCCGAAAACGTAAAGAAAACCGCAATCGTCTAACCGTTTGGACTTTTCGAGTTCACCCGGATGCCTTTCGGTTTGCGAAATGCCGCGCAAAGCTTCCAACGCTTCATCGACGCCATTCTCCGCGGACTACCTTTCGTTTTCGCCTACGTCGGTGACGTTCTTGTCGCCAGCTCATCGCCGGAGAAACATATACGCCACCTGCGCCTAGTATTCAAGCGTTTCGCTGAACATGGCATGATCATCAACGCAGAAAAATGTGCGTTCGGCGTCCCGTCTTGGAGTTCCTGGGCCGCGTGGTAGACTCCAATGGCATCCGATCTCTTCCCGACAAGGTGAAAGCGATCACCGATTTCCCACGTCCAGAACCGCTCCGCCAGCTCCACCGTTTTCTGGGACTGGTGAACTACTACAGGCGGTTCATTCCAGGTTGCGCGGCAATATTACTTCCCCTAGAAGAGCTCCTTCAAACTACGAAGGGTACAACAGCCACTCTTGACTGGTCCGACGCTGCAGACAACGCTTTCACTACCATCAAAGAGCGTCTCGCTTCTGCTACCCTCTTAGTTCATCCATAGCACGACGCCCCCACGAGCGTGATGGTTGATGTTTCTGGATACGCAGTAGGAGGGGTGCTGCAACAACGCATAAACAACGCGTGGCTCCCGCTCGGTTTCTTCTCTAAGAAACTTACACCAACCGAGCAACGATATAGTGCCTTCGGCCGTGAACTCCTCGCGGCTTACCTTACCATCAAGCACTTCAGATTCTTCCTGGAAGGACGATCGTTTGTGATCTTTACAGATCAGAAGCCACTAACCAATGCCTTCAGATCATCTAAGGCCACATACTCTCCGAGAGAGACTCGACACTTGGCATTCCTAGCTGAATTTTCTACCGACATTCAGCATATCAAGGGCGTCCACAACATCCCCGCCGACACCCTCAGCCGTGTCTCCGTAGTTCAGTACCGCGGGTGTGACCTTAGACAACTCCCTGCTCTACAGGAGAGTGACGAAGAGCTCCGCAACCTTCGCTCTTCCCCAACCTCCTCTCCCCATCTTGAGGACGTTTACTTCTCCGACTTGGGCACAAACATCGTTTGCGACGTCGACCCGGTGACTGGACGGAAACGGCCTTATCTGCCCTTACCACTTCGGCGTCAGATCTTCAACAACCTTCATGCTCTCTCACACCCAGGCATCCCCGCTTCTCAATATCTAATCGCGGAACGATTTGTCTCGCCTGGCATGAACGCTGATGTCTGCGCGTGGGCACGAGAAGGCATTGCTTGTCAGCAGTGTAAGGTGTCCGGGCACACCATCACGCCTCTGGCAAGGTTTGCACTCCCCGACGCGCGCTTTGCCACCATTCACGTGGACCTCATCGGACCCCTACCGTCATCGCAGGGCTACCGGTACCTCCTAACCGTCATCGACAGGTTCACGCGCTGGCCGGAGGCTTGTCTCATCAAAGATATCACTGCCGAGACTGTCGCCTCTGCGCTTCTGTCCACCTGGATCTCCCGCTTTGGGGTTCCCGCCGAAATCGGGACTGATCGCGGACGACAATTCCAATCGGCCCTTTTCCGAAGCTTGACAACTCTTCTTGGCATCGCTCACTTGAAGACCACAGCCTACCACCCGCAGGCAAATGGTTTTGTTGAGCGGTTCCATCGCCATCTCAAGGCCTCCCTCATGGCCCACGCCACTCCAAATAAATGGGCCACGTCTCTACCCATCGTCCTCCTAGGGTTGCGCACAGCCATAAAGGAAGACCTCGGATGTGCCACATCACATCTAGTTTATGGAACATCGCTGCGCCTCCCAGCTGAGTTGGTCAGCACTACCACTCCGATCCACGGCGGCCCCACGATGACTTCAGGATTGCCTTACGTGGAGGACTTAGCCCGTCTGTTCGGTGACGTGCGCGCTACACCGACGCGGACACGCCAGAGCAAGCCTCCTTTCTTCCATCGCGACCTGCACAACGGTGGCTACGTGTTTTTGCGCGTCGACAGCGTCCGCCGTTCGCTCCAGCAACCTTACACTGGTCCCCACCTCGTCGTGACACATGGCGAAAAAACATTCACGCTACGAGTTAATAGCCGCGACACGGTCGTGTCCGTTGACCGCCTCAAGCCACCATTTGTTGAGAGCGATACGATCGCTCAGCCGACTGATCTACCCAGCGTGCAAGCCACCTCGAGCTCAACAGTATCACCCGCGGCCCGCATCAAACACTCCAGGACAGTTCACTGGGACGACTCCGTCTCCAAAGAGGGCTATGTGGAGACAGCCACCGAGAAAAGAAGAAGATCGCGTGCAAATAAAAAAAGAGAGATCAGTTCGACTTTGGAATGCGTCAGGCGTAGTCGCTTTTCGTCTTTCTTTGTCTACAGATTTATTAGTCAATCTGTCATTTTCAAAAATACATCTAGTCATCAAATACACTATTTTATAGCTATACTAATGTAAAATAAATTAATCTGTTATAACGCAAATGAATCTTATTTAAATCATAGGCATCCAATAATTTATAGTTAAACAAATAGTTATTGTTTTCCGCTCACGCGATTCCCCTTGGCAAAGCGCAATCTGATCCAAAAGGTTTTGAATAAAAAAGTCGACTTTATATGACAAAAATTCTGTTTTCTTCTAAAAAAAATTTCAGTTTACAAATGTGTTGCACTCTTTGCGGCAATAACAAGACTTTCAAATTTAAGGATATCAATGTGTGGGGGTTGGACAATGAATACGCACCTGAAACCGGTATATTCCAACAAGCTGAAGGTTTATTCGGGGCTTGCGAACCGTCTTGAAGATTGCATTTACCTTCGTGGAAGAAATAAGGGATTCGAACGGGTGTCAGCAATCGGAGCATAAAAGCCTCAATAAGCATTTTTTTTGGTCAATGAAAACTAGAAGTACTATATTATTTCTGAACAAGAACGAATGTAAACCATACGCACGATGTTCATTAGCCTTATGACGTATCGAGCCTGTAGATATTTGCTTTCATTGAGGGACTTGTGTATTACACTGTCAAACATGACGTACATTTCAGGTCGCCACACGGTGGGTGGCTCTGCAGTGTCACCTAGAAGGTTTCAAATCATGACATGTCCTCAGTGCATCGCAAGTGTAGAATTAACTGTGTAATCATTTTTTTAATATGCACGATGCGAGAAAATTTTAGCTTGATTTCTGTGCAAGATAGTGAAACTGTCTTTGCAATTGAAAGTTTTCCAATTCATTATATCATCAAAGTGTGGTCTCGATTTGCAGTTACACTTGAAGCACGAGCTGACGTCTACCGAAATATTTCAAAGCAAAAACCTAAAGAAGAAAAATTAGGGTTTCTACTGTGTACAAAAAATTGCATCAAGGGTATAAAATGGCCAGTATGTATGCCGCGCATGTAACTGGAATTGCAGCCTGCTCCTTGGTGTTTCTAGAATTGGTTAAGAGGATTGCTGAGAAATGTTAAATGTTTTACAAGCAAAATAAGCTTACTTTTTGGCGGTAGACTTTTATCAGAACGTTCTTCAACGGGCACTGTAAACATCATAGTGATACTGAATGTAAAAAGTAATCAAAGTCAAAGGTTATAACTTTTCAAAGGCATGCTTCTTCAGCAAAATTATACAGGATCAGTTCCTGTTTTGCTGTCAAGTATTTTTTTTTTGTTGTCCCATTTTCGCGGTTTTTAGTCATTAAGATATTTTCAAGATAATTTTCTCAAATTGTTACAATATCCGATGTCAACGCATATGTGTTTATTCAAATACCATCACCTCCAAACTGAACTATGCCGAAATAAAGTAGATAATTCCTTTTGTTTGAAAAAAAAGACGACGATGTGATATTTTTGCGTGTGTTACCTAAAACGCAAGGATAATTAAGTAAAAATATAAGGGACGTGATAATTGTCAGTACATTCCGCGTCAAAAATATCGTTTGTAGAAACATGTTTTTTGGAACTCTCAAGTGCTACCTATTAAATTATTTAGGATAAATAGAACGGAAACTTTGAACGCACTTAACGAATTTTGTCTTGAGTATAAGGATATAAGAACTGTTTCCGATTGCCAAACCACTGACCTCTTCCGTTAACTCAGAAAGTGCTAATTATTGGTACGATTTGAGATCATACATGCTCTGGTACTCTGAATATTTTGAACATCGGATTACATAATCAGATCACTAATACAGGAGCCGTTGAAATGATGCAAGTAAAAAGATATCGAAATACTGAGGGGCCGTCGCCTTTGCAAGCACTTCTCCTTTTCATTTTTCAATGATAATCAATTAATGCGGTCATTTCGACACGCTTTAAACAGAATGTGTTGAGAGAGAAAAAAACGGGAGGTGAATTAATTCATCGAGAGAATAAATGGCAAATAACTGAGAGCATACAAGAATTGACACTGCACGTGAAGCGAACGCTGAAGGAAGGAATTCGGTCGTACGTTCAAAATTTCTAATCATTTTTGCTTCAGGAAGTCTAGCCTTTAACGATTGAATTTTCAACAAATATCTAGTGTATAGTGTTTGATTCTGTCACTTACTTTCGAAGTGGATCGCCTTCTCAGGCGTCGGTAGCGGAAATATTCTGTGAGGGACACGGCCGGATTTGTCATGTTTTCGCAATGGCTCAATTCCATGTGTAAAGTTTAGGTATCCTTCCTGTCAAAAAAGTGAAAGATTTCTGAATATTGCAAGCATTGCCCGTTGCAGACCGTTTGTGAATCGCTAACCAAACATTTCATCGTTATTAAAAGTTGAATTGGTTAGGAAGCAATTTATGGACTACGTATTCTAAATATATAATTTAAAGTTCTCATAAATAATGTTCTTCAGACGATACGGCGATGTGAACTTTCAATGTGCTTAATACACCTTCATTTTTATGAAACTTAAAAAAGCAAAACGTTCGCGAAAATCTATGTAGTTAACAAATACAAGATTTATAAATAACGACTGCATAACCTCCTGTACATTTGTATAATCGTATTTGTTGTTCCTATAATAATATATACTTAAAAAAATGTGTACATACCATTTCAATTCCCATGTCTGTTTCAGTAATTGTAAAGGACGCCTTGTGTTCCGAATTTTCATAAACACTCTTACGTATGTCTGTAGTATCCATCTTAAAAGAGCATAATTTCAGTAAAATAACTGCGAAGTAATATTCATATTAGTAGCAGCTGAAATGCTAAACGGTTATATTTATAGCCAAGCAATTTATGGCTAGGCTTTCGTGGATTTTTTGTGTACTTCAACAAAACTCAGTTCCCGAATTTGGTGGAAAATCGCTTCATTTTATGCAAAAGCTTATGTCTCATCACTTGGATATGCATTTTCAGTAGATTAGTTAAAAATAGGCTCCATCTTCAAAATCAGCAGACAATCAAGTAGATAACAAAGGTTTCTCAAAGATTTGGCTTTGTGCGACCCGCGTCAGCTATGTCTACTCTCGCACCGCCCTCTCCTTGTAGTCGCCCAGAGCGCTTGCGAGCCTAGTTTCCGTTCCTTCTGCCCTCCCGAATTGGCGGTCCCTTCGCGCGCGTCTACATTCCGCCAGGTGGCCGTCGCATTGAGGGTGTCTTTTTTCCTCCGGCTCGTCACGATGACCACCAATCAAGACAATAAATCTGGTCGTACCTTTGTTCAAAGTTCTTTGACACATCTGTGCCGTGTGCTAAACAGCTTCGCTGGTCATGCACCTTCTCAGAGTGGAATTGCTCATGCTTTTTTTTTGCAAGCTATGCCATGTTATAAAACCTCAGTAAATGATTACATTCAATGAGTTTCAACAAGACGCAGAACGAATATTAGGGTGAATGGTTGCATAAATTATCGAGGAAGTAAAACTTTCTCAAAGAAAGCAAAAAAGAAATCGTGGGAGTCGGCACGTCATTTAAACAAATGAGCGTTATTTAAGTTAATATAAGCGGAGACAACTCTGCTTGAACGGCTTTTTGAAATGTACGAAAACCTCCAAAGACACTAGCGGGAACATCAAAAAACTTCTGAGCAAAAAAACGGCACCATGACAGAGCAGCACACGAGAAAAGAGCACGCGACAAAAGAGCATGGTCAAAACAGCACGCGTCAAAACAGCACCGCGTCAAAACAGCACCGCGACGAAACGGCACGCGTCAAGATAGCACGCGACAAAACAGCACAGCGTCAAAACGGCACAGCGACAGAAGAGCACGTGCCAAAACAGCACGGCGTCAAAAGAGCACAGCGCCAAAACAGCACAGCGTCAAAATAGGTAATTGACAATATAGCTATACTTCGTTTCAGCTTCGGTCCAGACGCAGCCGATGCTGAGAGCGCGAGCACGTGGCCCAGAACAGTGCTTGCACTGCACGAGCGCGCGTGCTTGGCTAGGATGCTGAAAGCCCGGAGCCCGCGCTTGTAGCTTTGGCTGCGTCTGGACCGAGGCTGAAACGAAGTATAGGGGTCGGCGTTTTCGGTCTTTATTATATTTAAATTCGGCGTATTTTTCTTTTTTTTCTGAACATAAGTTTTCGGTTTATTGCGCTGGATATTCGTAGACTCATAAATTTCTCGGTCCTTTTCGGTTTATTGACGAAAACCAGTATACTGGCCAAAATGCAATATTTAAAAGCGTTTGTTTAAAATGTATAGTGAGTAAACCAGGTACTGGTTTTCTTATTTGTCGTCGTCGGTGACACCCGACGCGACCTGTTCTGCGAGAAGCACTAGGGCCCTATCGTGATCTGACATTATTGTCGTGTCCTCGTATTTGTACACAGGGCGAACATGAGCTTCACTAACACTTCGGTCGGAAAGGCAAATATCAAAATCCAGAAATTTGCAAGTATTGTACTCAGTGCGTTTTCCCCCCATTTTCACGACTGCGATATGTAGTAAACTCGCGCTGACCACAGAAACGACAATAAAACAATCGTATATTTATGCCCTCCTCTAGTAGACGAAAGGTAGGGGTGTTAAAAAATGTGCCGCGTTTCCGACGCCCTTGATTTTCATTGTTCAGTTCACGATTAAAATCTCATATTTGAAGAAAGAATTTGGCACACAAGTCCCCATAAGGTGAAAAACCCAGATTTCGTCGTGAAGACCCCTGCGGCATCGGAGCTCCTGTTGAAAGTTGAACCGATCTCGGAGACAAGCTGAAAACTGCGAAAGGAAGTGGTCATAGGGTCAGTAATGAGTCACCCCCTCCCCCCTCCCCCTACCCCTCCAACGGATTTGGAAAAAGGAATTCGGCGTACTTTTACCGGTTTAATTCGGTTTAGGCCGAAGACGACCTAAATATAGAGTATGGAGTTGGCAGTTCTGCATTTGAGAAAAAACACTTGTATTGCGTTCATTTGGCCTTTAGAATAACAAATATCAGAATTTTGTTTCAGTGCGACGCGCGGAAGAGCCATAAGAGCAATTTCAAAATAGGGCTGAAGCTCCGCCTCCCTAGCCTTGGGCAAGGAAAAGATCCGTCGATGTGGTCACGTACAGCGACTTTTTTCGCGTTTTCTCGCGTTTAACAATACTTGCGCAGGAAATGGTTTGGGTATTCGGGTTCACGGGGTAACAATACACTAGCATTCACTTCTAACTAAATTTGTGTAAGAACCTCCGTAGCTTCCCTTTTAAAAAGTACACGTTTTAAATGGAGGGTCTAGGCCAATTTGTCGAATCTATTCTATTGGGAGCAAGTTCGGAGTGGGGTGTGTACTCGGTGCGCACATGAAGGCTGCCTGGGCAGAACCGAAACCCCCGCTGATGCGTATTCTGGCTATTTCTCGAGCAGTTCTGCTAATATTGACGATCAAGTTTGCTGGTTATGTCGTCTACAATAAATGTATCAATCGCATGACAATGTGTTTCCATTAGCTTTTAAAGAAAAAAAAAACAAAAAAAAATTTGAAAGCTTCTTACAACTCCCTGTAACACCGAATTAGAGCGCAGCTCTTGAGGAGGAGGAGGGAAGGGTACTGGGGGGGGGGGGTTAAACTAACCAGGGGGGGGGGGGTCACGTGACCTTGGGGGTCACGTGACCCCCAATGCCGATGATGTCATCACTGACGTCACTGATGACGTCATCTGTGACGATGACGATGCGGGTACCGATTACGTCATTAGTGACGTCACTGATGACTTCACCAGTGATGATGACGATGACGATGCGAATGTCGGTGACGTCATCAGTGACGTCGCTGATGACGTCATCAGTGATGATGACGATGACGATGCGGATGCCGGTGACGACATCAGTGACGTCACTGATGACGTCATCAGTGATGATGACGATGACAATGCGGATGTCGGTAACGTCATCAGTGATGATGACGATGTCGATGCGGATGCCGGTGACGTCATCAGTGATGATGACGATGACGATGTGGATGCCGGTGACGTCATCAGTGATGATGACGATGACGATGTGGATGCCGGTGACGTCATCAGTGATGATGACGATGACGATGTGGATGCCGGTGACGTCATCAGTGATGATGACGATGACGATGTGGATGCCGGTGACGTCATCAGTGATGATGACGATGACGATGTGGATGCCGGTGAGGTCATCAGTGATGATGACGATGACGATGTGGATGCCGGTGACGTCATCAGTGACGATGACGTCATCGGGGGGTCACGTGACCTCGAGGCGGGGGTCACGTGACCTCAGGGGAGTCACGTGACTTCGGGGGGTCACGTGACCCCCCAGGAGGTCACGTGACCCCGGTGGGGGGCTCGCGCGGTGCATTATGGGACATTTCCCATGATGCACCGCGCGGTTACGCCGACGGCGACGCCGACGGCGACGGCGACGGCGACGGCGACGGCGACGCCGCTCAAGCCGGAAACGGGCCCCTAAGAGCTGCGCTCTAAAAACATGTGCGGCTACCGTGTGCTCAGCCCTGTAGAGCAACAGCATTGAGGCTGTGGCATGTTTCTGCTTCACCGGTTTCCACTTGATCGAAGCCTTCGTCGTAATTAATTTGTGAATTTAACTCAAAACAGCTTCTCGGCTGCAAGCTGCAGCCACGTGTTTCCGGGACATCTTATTCACGGCGAATTAACCCCACAGAATGCGACACCTTAAATTAGCTGGATATTAAAGTCAACTTATCTTAGTGGTTCTATTAACTGGCTGAAGTTGAGCTAGTTGGTGCATAATTTAGGTAAACGGTCAGCTAGAACGAGAGGGACAAACACAGACAGGGAGAAACAGAGACATACACACCGCTGATTATCAACTAAGACTTCAGATTTCTTCTTCATCACTTCGACCCACAGATTCACACCTAAAGTAAATGAATGATCCTAAATCCTTACAATACACTACTAAATCAAAATACTGATTAAATAATATGAAATTAAAATTGAAACTAAATAATTACATTAAATTATTAAATATTAATTTTGGTCCAACCGACAGACCACTGCCGAAACATATCCCTCCTAGTCCCTTTCACGGCGCCGTGCCACACTGCAAAAACTGCCTTTCTTTCTTGCTGACCGTGATGGAGGGCACGCTCACGCAGTCGTCGCCGGTTTGCTCAATGGCCAGGGCCTAGAGGATCTCGCGCGCAGAAGCATTCCTGTGTCTGTTAATAATGGAGACGCTACTAAACCGTGGCTTGCACCCGCACGTGCGGCAATCGGCAGCAAGGTGCCCAGCTCCCGTGCCTTGCACCGGCGCCACGTGCTCCCTGACTCTGTCGTTAACGCAGCGTCCCGTCTTCCCAATGTAGCAGCTCCCACATGACATAGGAATCTTGTATACCACACCGGTCTGGCACATGGTGAACTTATTCCTGTGTGCAGTATTGCAGGTTGGCTGGCAGTTCGTGGCCCGATAACAGACACAGGAATGCTTCTGCGCGCGAGATCCTCAAGGCCCTGGCCATTGAGCAAACCGGCGACGACTGCGTGAGCGTGCCCTCCATCACGGTCAGCAAGAAAGAAAGGCAGTTTTTGCAGTGTGGCACGGCGCCGTGAAAGGGACTAGGAGGGATATGTTTCGGCAGTGGTCTGTGGGTTGGACCAAAATTAATAATTAATAATTTAATGTAATTATTTAGTTTCACTTTTAATTTCATATTATTTAATCAGTATTTTGATTAAGTAGTGTACTGTAAGGATTTAGGATCATTCATTTACTTTAGGTGTGAATCTGTGGGTCGAAGTGATGAAGACGAAATCTGAAGTCTTAGTTGATAGTCAGCGGTGTGTATGTCTCTGTTTCTCCCTGTCTGTGTTTGTCCCTCTCGTTCTAGCTGACCGTTTACCTAAATGGTTCTATTAATGCATTTTAATCGGCGATCTCCCGCTTTTCTTCTTTTTTCTTGGGTGGGTGGGAGGGGGGGGAGGGGGGGAGGGGTGACGTTTCACGTTTATGTGGTAATTACTAAACGACAAGTACCACGGAGCCGCACCGGACCGCCGAAAACCAGACGGTTCATAACTTGAACGTATCGATTTCTGTTTCCCAGTACCTTTTCCTCTTTCGCTGGTTCTACAAAAAAGACCAGGCAACGCGGCCAACATCGACGCGAAGATATCACCTCTAACTACCTAATCTCTTCAGAGATCAGCGTTGTTAAGTAGTAGTGACTACGGCTAACTTTATTTGTTTTTAGCAATCACGCAGCATCAGCACTCAGGGGAGTGACTTAGCAGTGACATAGGCAATAAATTCCTTCATAACCTAGGGACAATAAATAAAGGGGTCAAGAAGGTTCGAAATTATTCGCGTAAAGAGAGGTGAAGAGTGCGCGATAAGTTGCTACGTATGTGCTGTTTTGTCGCTGTGCTGTTTTGGCACGTGCTCTTCTGTGGCTCTGCCGCTTTGACGCTGTGCTGTTTTGACGCATGCTATTTTGACGCATGCTGTTTTGTCGCCGTGCTGTTTTGACATTCTGCTGTTTTGACGCGTGCTGTTTTGAAAGTGCTGTTTTGTCGCGTGCTGTTTTGTCGTGTGCTGTTCTGTCGTGTGCTGTTCTGTCGCGTTCCCGAAAAAACAGGTGGAATGTTTATTTTTTAAGTAAATTGATTGAATTTCAAACAATGAGGTGGAAGCATGCTTTCTTGTGAAAGGTAATCTTTCCTTACCAATTCGTGATTCACCTCTCCATACTTAGCATCGGAAAAATACAGACTGTCCCCTAAAACACTGGATTCTTCCAAGTCTATGACGTAGTCTTTAGAAATTTGAACAGCGCCTCTTGAGTTGCCGCTTCTGCTTTCAATCAGAACCGGATACACGACACCTGGAACGTAACCGCTCCTGTTATCCGACTGTTCCATACTCGCAACAAACTTCTTAGTAAAGAGGAAGAAACAAAAACGGCGGTCACAAGTCACGGAGTTTTTCTGATAAAAAAAAAAATCCTACGTAGATCTCCGAGAAAAGTTCCCTTTCACAAACAGAGGAAAATTAACTCCACAAAAATAAAAAATCCCTTCTGCAATGACAAGACGTTGGAAACGTAATGCAATAAAAGTACACCGCGGGAAGCATGCCTACACTCATGTGAATAGTTCGAACAGAACAGATTTAGAAAATCGGGGGAAGGGGGGGGGGGGGGGGGGGGCATCTTCCAATCGTGTTTCGTTAACACTATTTGTCCTTTCATATGTATTTCTTAATATGCAGCTCATGAGAAGATATGCTACTTCGCTAGACCTCAAGATGCTATTAGAGTGCCATACCACATAAAAGAGAGGGACTTAAGAATCTAGATTACCTTGTTGCCTAGTTTTTGTTAATGATGGTTATAACCTTAATTTTTGTACCACGCCTACGTTCCTATTCTTGCGAAAACCTTTTGGCAATCTGTCAAACTTTTCGCTCTTCACCACTCTAATTGTACGGCACCATGATGAATGGAACATCGTTTTAGGACGGTCAATTATATTTGGTAACTCCGATTGTACACGTAATCTGAACGAAGAGAGGCTAAGAGAAGCGCGAAGAGTAATTTCCTCAAAGGCCCAACAACTTGAAAGGATTTCTGGCAGTTTGGAACTGGGCAAAACAAAAACATTACGTTATTGTGCATTCCGTGCACGTACAATGCAATTGGCGTTCCGCATTAAAGAGCAACATTTGCATCCTCTCTTAATTTGTAGGTGTAAGAGCAGGAACCAAGTGCATGGTCTTTATTTAGACCTGACGTACGTCAGACTTTGAATGCGCGAACAACTGCTTCCGGTATGATGACCTCGGTGTCGCTTTCTACCAATTTATGACGCCCTTTGGCTGGCTGAACTGTGGAGTACGACGTCTTTAGAGCTCGTCTGTGACTGGTGCGTTAAAGATCCTATCGCATCCATATCTGAAAAGTAATCCCGAATTTTCCAGAAACGACCTCACAGGAGCCAAAGTGTCATGCTCTCGGATGTCGCAACCCTTGCGCTTGGTGCCAGAATTCCCGGCCAAAATTAAAATGAAAAGCTCGTACATTTGGCTCGTACCACAACCGCTGCGACACCCCCAGGATCCTGACCGACGGCATAGAACTTATATGACGTCAGAGTGGTTGAGAGTACAAGAATTTCGTTCGCAACTTCTATGTAACAGATATAAAAAAATATATATAATCACTAGGTTTGCGTTAACCTAGTCGCAATTTTATTTTGCTTGTGTTTTTAAAGAGATTTGGATGTAGTACCGGGTGTATCAGGTAGCGGCCACACGCCTTAAATCGACCGCAAAATTCGTTTTTTTAAACTATTGCGCTACGATGTTCTGCAGCTTCGCACACAGGTGGTGCATTTATTCTATAAACTTTGCAAAGAGCTAGCTTACCTGTGAAAAATGTAAAAAAAAAGGCTTAACTCCTATGGAAACGCAGCGAAGTCACCAGTTTTCAAACAATAGGGCGCCCTATTGATTGAAGACCAGTGGCTTCGCTGGGTTTCCTCAGGAATTAAGATTATTGCTTTGTTTACTTTTTCCTCAGGTAAGTTCGCTCGTAGCGAATTTTTTAGGAAAATACCCGCCCCCTGTGGGCAACGCTGCACAAAATCGTAGAGTGATGGCTTAAGAAACCGAATTTTGCGGTAGATTTAAATAGCCTGGCCGCTATTTGAGATACCCGATAGAATACCAACGTATTAAAGTGTCCGAATCAACCCGTCATGTTATCGGGAGATGTAGCGGCATATATTTATATGAGGCCGCTTCTACAATCATTGACAACCAGAGTGAAGGACGTGCTCACCAACGAGCATTCCATTATTTTTTCTCATCCAGTAGGATTGCGGTATTAGAGGATAAGAACACGAAAGAAGCAATCAGGAAGCAAGAATCAAGATTATAGTATTAAGCCACACACTGCGCGTCTTATTTGTCAGCGACTATAGAGAAATCCGTGAATACAATCAATGCAGCGTGTCTACCCAAGCCTATTTAAACCCTACGCCTTTCGGGGGCATGGTGCATGCCGTAATACAAATTATTTCTCGTCTGCAATATTGTGTGCGGAATTTCCATGATAACTGTTTATCGTGCCCAAAAGCTCGGAGGTTGAAGCATAGGAGAAATGTAAAATTTGATTTTACGTCACTAAGAAAAACGCCATGCGGAAGCTTCTGCATAAATAGAATCAATACATCACCGGCGTGAGCAAAAGCTACGCTGCAAATGATGAGTGTAGCCGAATACATTTTCCGTCATAAAGACGTCCGTAAGGTAGAAATTTATACTTGGAAATGAAAGAATGCCTTTGTCAGGAACCTTTTTAAAGGGTGAAAAGGTTCAGCGCCCTTTAAAACATTACACAAAATGCGTGATAATGAAAACAATACGTCAAATGACGCACACAGGAAGTTGCATTTATTATGTTGTTAAAGACAGCTTTTGCACGAGACGAGCATTAACACCGGCAATGGACCCTTTTCAAACGTCAGGGCCATCTCGTGGCAGTCTCAATAGCACCAATTTCTCCGCACTAATGCCGGTGATAGAAGATCAAGATTGCCTACCTTGAAACACTCTCGATTTTGTGAATCAAAGGTGACTTTCAAGGGCCAACTTGTTAGAATGGATTCTCCGCTTCTTTGTGGCATGCTTTTAAAGGCGTTCGCTTCTCCAAGGGTGCGGAAGCTGCGTAGCGCCGCAATTAGAGCGTCCAGTTTGGCTCTGCAGGTGGTAGGTAGACTAAGTATTGAAAAGGGTCTATAGACGCGTGTCAAAAAGGAGACACCAGCGGTTTGGTTATCGCGGTGGAGACCAAATATGGCTTACACTGACGTCACAGCAGCGGCCATTCTGGTGGACATTGCTTGCTGAGCACGTGGCTTCTGCTTCAATGCATGAAAATAAGTATGTAATATGACGTCACATGCCGGCCACACATAAACGCCGCGGCTAACGAGACATGTTATTGTCACGAAACCAGCCCGTCGTAGACGCGGAAGAATACACCAGCGGCTTTCGACAAATGGCTTCCTCAAATCTCTCGTCGCTTCGAAATAGAAAAGTGCGATTCCATGCACTGAATATGTCATAAAACGCAAAACTGAGACTTAAGAATTTTGTACTTTCTGAGTGGCATCTGACTTGCTGCTAGGAAAGTTCAGAACACGTCTCGAGGGTACGTTTACCAACGTGATTTCTATTGACATATTCACGACAGAGTTGGCGTCGCGCTCGTCACCCACGGGAAGGCACGGGGCTAGGGCCCCACCAGCCAAATTTCTCATTTTATATTCCTCCCCTCTTCTAGAACGTTATCATTTTGTAACGTAGCCCTCGTTCATGGTCAAAATGTTCTAGAATACAGAGTATGTACAAAAGAAGCTGAATCCGGCAACATTGGGACATTGGTACCTTGTCACATTCACGGGATGCACGCTGTTCTTTTGGCTTTAGTTAGGGGTGCGAGTACACCTTATTGTACATTTAGTTTCAGTTTTTAAAGCAACCTACTTTTTTATCCGAGATAATACAGTAATGCCTAAGGATGACACCCAAAACTGTAGGGAGACCGTGAAGTATCCAGGGCTGCCCGTTAGATGACGCCACTGTGTTCACTCTTCGTAAGCGGTCGCAGGCGTGTCAAAACGACCATTCCCCTGGTCGTTTTAGATCACTAGCCTAAATCCACTACGGAGCATCCGATTAGTGCGGAGCCACCGCGCCTCCGACTTCACCAGCGGAAGACGACAGGGTTGCGAGAGTGACCAACTTTCGTCCCGGCATTCCGCATCGCGCTGGGCTATCGTCATTTCCGGAAACCGCCATCACAAGTCGGTCGACCGCCGTTTCCGTCATGCTCGGTGAGGCAGGAAGTTAGTCTCCCAAAGATCGGCTTCCACTCGGCTCCGGGAAGATCAGCCGATCGAGATATGGGCGTTCCGAACCCTAAATCAGAGTCGCCGCTGCTCCAAAAGGACGTGCGAAAGACATCCGGGTTGATCTCAAACGACCAGTGGCGAACGCGCCCTCCAAAAAAGTGCATCCCGGAACGCGCCATAACGACGAGTGGAATTCGTCATTAATCAGACGCGAATCTCTTAAAAAAAAACTTTAAGGGACCATGAAGACCACTTTGAAGTTCTCTTTAACGATTGAAATGAACGCCAAGCGCTTGTGCGTCGCACAAATTAATTGAATAGACCCAGGAACAAACACACCGGAGCAGATGAGAGTCGCTCTCATCGGTCCTGGTGTGATTGTTGCTGGTTCTATTCAATTATTTTTTTGTGCCACGCGCAAGCGCTTGGCGTTCGTATCAATCGTTAAAGTTAACTTCAAAGTGGTCTTCATGGTCCCTTAAAGGTTTTTTCTCGGGCGTCGCGCCCGAGACTGCGGAAAAATCCAGCTTATGAATGACGTGAACCGTGACATCAATTGAGGCACGTCGGGCGATTGGTCGAAATGAACAGAGTCCTCGTGTACTCGTTTTTGATCGTAAGTCGTCAAAAAAGATTTCGTATTTTTTCTCATTTAGTAACAGCAAAACGTTTATGTTCCTGCCTAAACAAATTACTAGAATTAAAAAAAAAAAGTATTATTTCCGTCCGCGGGCGCGCGGAGTGAAAAAACTGAATAGCTGAGAGCCTTTGAAGGGAAGCTGAAACAATTCTTGAAAAAAATAAAACCGAGTTAGAGGAGAATTCTAGAGTATTTTTATCACGTGACTTTGAATACCACGTTCATTTTCCACGATGATTTATACTAAATATGAGAAAACCCGAAAACCCTCCGGCCAGTAGTAACGTCCTACTATAATCTTTGTTCCGCCAAGCGGGTTTCGCTCGTTTGGGCAGCGCGTGCAATCGGAAGCTTGCAAGGTGTATTTTTCCGCACTGACGTCAGTCATGACGTCTATCTCTGACCTTTTCGAACACAGCAAGAGTACACGCGGATAGCTTTGACAGGTGCTGAAGATGCGCTAAGCAGGGATTCCGAAAACTCCTAGTATCGCGCCACGCCCCATGCACTTTGATATTAACTTTAAAAAATAATTTCTGCAGCCCCCGTGCGCCAAATTGAAAAATATTTTTCTATACTCGTGATCTTGGAGGCCAAATGAAGACGATTTTGATGTTTTTCTTTAAGCCAAGCCACTATCCAGAAAAAAAAAAAAAAAAAAAAAAACTCTGCAAGAAAGGTTGATTTTGAAAAATTATATATTCGCATCCACTAACATCTAGAGGTTTACCACAAAAAGTTTAATTAGTTTACACGGCATAGTTAACTTTTTATACATTATTTTCTGTCCAGTGAAGCTAAAGAAAAGGTAGGGATTGCAGCAATTTGAACACACTTTTCTTTGTTCCGCTTTTTGCTAGAAATTCTATTTTAGTCAATCTATCGTTTGATAATGGCGATAAAGGGATGGCTCGTTTTTCACTTTTCCTGACTCAAATTTAATACGGAATGCGGCTATGGAATTGTGTTGTCACTTTACGGATGTCTTTTATAAACAAATGTTACCATTTTGTCAAAGCCAGAGAACACCAAAAAGTTCACCGATTTTTCAGAAGAAAACATTTAAAGAGATAAATTACTTTTTACAAAAAACTTTCCATAGCCGCACTCCCTAAGCATTCCACTCATATCTAGCAGGCAAAAAAATTTCAATATCGTGATAGTTTTCCAACGATAGATTAACTAAACAACGTAGGCGTGTTACTGATAAAAGCTGCTCTAATTTCTTTCCCATTTAACCGACAGACCTGAAATTTCGTTATGCATCCTCTAGTATGACTATCAGCCTGCCCTGTAAATTTCATTAATTTTACGCCAAGGGTTCAAAAGTTGCCCCTAGGGGGCTGTGTCCCCTTAAATATAAAACCACTTCAGTCTCCCTCTAACTTGAAAAGCATTTATTGAAATACACCTAAAAAAAATTGTTTTTTCTTTTTTTTTAGAAAAACGAAATTGGCGAGTCATTGTATTTTGTTCAGTTTGTGGCGCGGCTCTTAGTTCCACGCGCGAATGGAGCCGCAGAAACTGATCCAGGCTGACGCACTGCAGTTTCCAATACTTGTCGGGGTCCATTTTAAAAAGCTTCTGTCATTCCTCGTTTAGCACGCCGCCATCTTTCCGGCACATCCATCCAGCTTTTCATCCAAACAGACCTTTTTGCGCCTGTGGTATACTGATAGATCGGTACATGTCCCTGCGGGAGCCCAAGACTCCGACGCTTTCACGCCGAGCCTCCTCGAGCAGGACCATACTTTCGTCATGTCTTGGGTTAGTAAAGCTGATTGAAGTTCCGGTTGAGCCTGTGACGGCGTTTTATCTCACATGGTATACGCAACAGCGACACGCAACTATAATAGTTCTTAGTAACATTATAGCGCCAATCGCAACGCGAGTGACAATAAATCATGTCGACAAAAATTAAGGTCCCTACCAGGGTTGGGCAGAAATACTCAAAAATGTATTTGGGAATAAAAATACTGGGAGACATGAAAAAAGGAGCAAAAATACTGATACTTCAATGTATCTGGAAAAATCTATCGCGATACGTATCCGAGATGCATATTAAAAATATGCATAAAGTCTTTGGAAATACTAATACAGGCATACATTTCACTGGGGGCAGAAATACAAATATTTAAATACTGATACTGCAATATATTTTAAAAACATGTTTGAGACGCCAACTGAGATAAAGCTTGAAGTGGAAGTTTTTGATGACGGCCCAAGCGGCACAAGAATATTAGGCGAGTATTTACAGAATATTGTTGGCAAATACACAGAATATATGGCTCTTCCGATCCACATGATGTCTAGACAATATCGTCTGAAAAGCGAGGCAGTACAAGCACAATATCACTGGAGTACCGCCACCGTCAGGCTCAGTACCCACAGGGCGCCGAGTATATCTATTGAGTACTAGCAGCGTCGGCTGAGTGCACGCCGGACGCCGCGTGTTAATCCTAGGTCAATCGAGTTGTCGGAGTACCCGCCGGATATCGCCCGTATATCCATAGAGTACTTGAAGCGTCGGCTGAGTACCCACCGGGCATCGCGTATGTCAATCAAGTATATCTATGAAGTACTTAGAGCGTCGGCTGAGTATCCGCCGGGGGTCGAGAATTTATATTTTGTACTGGCAGTGTCGTCCGAGCACCCGCCAGATAACCAACTTATATCTCCAGAGTACATGGATGGTAGGGCGAGGGCAGGAAGGGAGGAAGCATACGGA